TATAGTTTCCCAAATTTTTCATACCAGGGTATAACACCACTTTGACCAACTGTATCGTCACGACCAATGTCTGTTTTAACTGCCCCGGGACTTAACACATATAATTATTAATTAATAAAAACATAATAAGTTTTACATTTGATTACATACTTAACACTATTAACACGAATGCCTTTGTGTCCCAACTCTACGGCAATACATTTGGTGAACATATCCAGCGCTGCTTTTGACATACTGTATGCCGAATAACTTTTCCGCTATTTTGTAATATATTATTAAAATATTAGTTTATATTTTTAAATATTTTCAAATACAATGATAATTACTGTTTGAACACTACGATTGCTCGATATATTAATGATATTTCCTTTAGTTATCTCCAAATGTTTAACACAAATGTGTGTCAGAAATACCACAGAATCCAAGTTTGTCTGAAGCTGTTGTTTGTATCCATTCATATAATCCTTGTCCTCAAAACCCACTCTAACAGCCATTCCCGCGTTATTCACGAGAATATCTAATTTTCCAAATGTCTGGACAGTTGTGTTTACAAGTCTTATAAGATCTTCATCTCTGGTAACGTCTGCCACCACTTCCAGTGCTTTCAGTCCTTTTGGAGACACATTGAGACACTGTTTGGCCACTTCTGACACTTTTGTGGCATTACGTCCCGTCACCACAANCACTTCCAGTGCTTTCAGTCCTTTTGGAGACACATTGAGACACTGTTTGGCCACTTCTGACACTTTTGTGGCATTACGTCCCGTCACCACAACATTGGCACCCGATTTGGCAAACAGTATGGCAGTGGCCGCACCTATACCTGAACTCGACCCGGTCACCAGGGCGACTTTACCACTAAAGTTATATGTAAGTGACATTATTTTTCAAAGTGGATTCGCTAAAATGTGTTGTGATTTTATATTTGTTATATTGATATGTACTGTACTGAATGTTATAAAACACACTATTATGTATTAATAAATTGATCATTTATAATTATTATATTAATAACCTATATCATACAAACTGTTATCAACACTTTTCTAAGTTACTAGATAACTCAAACACGTGTTATTATTAGAGTTAACAGATTTTTTTGAGATTATTTTCTAAATATTTTCTAAAACTTTGATGATACAGTATTAAGTTGTACAGTAATTGATATTTAAATGATTAGTAAAGTATATATCAAGTCACCAGGGCTACATAACGGCTGAATTCATACAAACGAGATATTTTTATTGTAATTTACAATATTCTGAATATTCACTGTTAATATAATTAATTTTATTATTTTGTATTTTATAATTTTGTATGATAATATAGCAGTTATAAGGTACCATGAAATATTGTATATATTGAAATTATTGTACAAAAGATTTATATTATTTTAATTAATCAGTTTAAAAATTAAATGGCACTCTGATTATGAGAACATTTTAAGTTAACTTTTATTTTTTAATTAATTTAATTAGATAAAATCATGTATTTCTTAATTATTAAATAACATCTTAATTATAGTTTTGAATTACTTTTATTAAGATTAATGTTGAGGGATATTAACATTAGCGGCGAGATGTCCGCCATCGGCCACCAAAACACTTCCCGTTATGAATGAACTCTCATTTGATGCCAAATATAACACAGCGTTTGCGATGTCATCCCTTTCTCCCACCCGTCCCACGGGGTATAGCTTTCCAATGTTTTCACACCGCTTATCCCACTCACTCTGTAAATCACCTGAGTTACTCGCAATGTTTATTTTGACAACACCAGGGCTATATTGTACACATTATTGATTCATTAGGATTGTTATAATTACACATTTGATTACATACTTAACACTATTAACACGAATGCCTTTGTGTCCCAACTCTACGGCAATACATTTGGTGAACATATCCAGCGCTGACTTTGACATACAATAGGCTGATAAGTCGTGTCTCTGTTTAAT